TGCCAGTCTTGATATATTTGGTTTGGGTGAGGACACTCTTTTACGGCAATGGGGACGTTGCCATAAAAACCTCTCTCTGGGAAGTGGCATTTCAAAGTGCCAGGAAGGAGATGTTTAGCCTCACCATCTTGGTGGCTGCTCGTCTGCAGTTCTTTTGGTTGCAGATGACAGCACCGGCTTGCAAGGCTCCACAGGACGCTGCTAATGAGCGGCCAGCCAGTGCTCCCAGGGGGTTGAGTAGGGGTAGTCTGTCCCTGTGAGACACTTTATTTTGAGTAGAGGTTCACCACCACTGGTTTTGGTAGTCCTGCGTGGGACCTGAGTGGGCACTGCTGCTCCTGACAAAGTCTGATAGGTGCCAGGCAACATTCTGCTCCAGGATTGGGGGGACAGCTGGAAGCTGCTGGGCTGGAGGCACCTGGTCACCCCTCCTGGACTTCTGAGCTTGGGCTAAGGGCGAAACCTGGCTACGCACATGTCTCTCCATAAAAACGGTGGCCCTGCAAAGCTGAACCCACTGTCTCACCACAGACATCATCTCTGAAACCTCCGAGCCGGCCTTCTGCTCTTCTGAAATACTTGCATTTAGGAAAAAATGTTTCCTGCTGTATTTGACATTTCCTTATTATCTATACATGTTTAATCCCTCTTTGTGTCCTGCTGTGCTTCTGCGAAAGAAATTTAGAGGCTTTATTCCAAGGAAAATCAAATGTTAGCCAGTATTAGTACTTACTAGTACTTATACCAGGGCACATGTTACTTGCAATTACTAGGAAAGGAAAATGGGAATATCATTGCCAACTTTAACTGTGCAGTATTTGAGGTCGTATTTCCTGTTTAAGCACTTAAATCACACCTCTGCTTTTTGGTCTGCCTTGTCACAGATTCCTGTGTCTCTGCTCACAACTGGGGACTCTCGTAGATAGTCTAAAGCACTTCAGTCATTTGGGGTTTGTGTTGTTCTCTGGTTGATGCGTACGACCTCAATGCAGAGCCAACGCCAATCGTCCACTAAACTCAGTGGCATGACTGCAGCTTTGCCCCAGAAAAACTAAGAAAACTTTATTTCTTTAAACTGGTATCTTGAATCTGCTTCTCAGGGGTACTCTAGACCTACTTACCTCTCTCTGCCTTGGGCCAGATTGCCTTTCCTGACCTACATGGCATATAGCCTTGATCTCTTGTTGCCATCTAGGTAATTAGTAACAGGCCTAAAGAAGGTGCCAGATTAATTTTGACAGAATAACTAGGCATTGGCACAGGTGGTACCTTGGCCTTGTTGCTGTGTAATGTGAAAAGTCAGAGGTTGTAAATAGAGAGACACTAACGCTGATCTGCCTTCCATGGCAGAACGCAGGAGGAGGTTCATGCCACTGGTGGAGACAGGTATTTGCAAAGCAGAAGGCTGCAGTTCAAGTGATTTAGATCTCAGACCTTGACTACCTTCTTCTTTTCTTCACGTGTTCGTTTCAGGCGCGTGCAAGAAGAGCCCTGGGCTGGAGGCTCCTGGAGCCCACGAAGCAGGTAAAGTTTGGCAATGCCCTATACAAACTATATTGTTCCAACTATATATACAGTTGGAACAATAGCAGATGGAAAAAAGTTTTGAGATAATCTCAGACTGACTCCGACTAAGATCAGAGAGAAGAATCCAGTATAACATCAAGCAAAAAGGTTTCCGATAAAAGCAGAAAGATGTTTTCTGAAGCAAAAATACTGGATGCTGTTCAGAATGACCTCTAAAAAAGAGATTGGTTGCTAGAAAGTCTCCATTGCTTTCTGGACTACCTCCTGTATACTTGCTGTTCCCTTCCTATTGACATCTCCAGGACTGTTCCATGGAGATACATGCATGCAGGTTGGAAATCTTGAACCATAGAATCTCTGGTGTGTCAGATGCAGGCAAAGGAAGAAAGATACAGTGACAGATAATTTAGAAACCATAGGCCTTGCCGCAGCTAACCCGTACTCGTATCTCTGCTTTAATGCAAGAGACTTTAGGCTGAATGGCGATGGTTTTGCTAAATGCAGTCACAGCCATGTTGTTCTGTCGAAAAATAGCAGATGCCATTGTTTTCACATGCTATATATTTTCACATATAGCAATTCTCTCAGGCAGTGGGGTAGACAGAGAGTTTCCTTCACTCTGAAATCTTAAATCTGCTATTTGCAGGTGGAGTGAGGGATGGGACGGGTGCTCAGAGCCCCAGGGATAAGCAGCCAGTACCAAGGTGATTTAATTCTCTGATAAGACAAGCGGTCCAAGGAATCGACCTGCCTGTGTTAATATGAAATGTTTTAACTTTCAAAATTTTCCCTATTCAGCTGAAAACAAGAATGAAATTCTCATTTTAAGAGAAACATGACCTCAGCAAGAGAAAGCTGGTAGTCTCTCTGTCACCCTTTCCCTTAGTGTTCTCTCAGTAAACTCCAACCTTGGGTCCTCAGGACACCAAGGCCAAACCTGCGCAAATGCATTTTTTCCAGCAGCCCCTCCCCTGATGCACCATAGGCTCCTGCTGGCCTTGGGAGCATCTGGGGTAACTGTTCCCTTCTTAAGCTCCAAGGGGGAAAAATTAAAGGCAGAGCCATCAGATGAGACAGTGTATTCCCACATGTTTGCTGAGTTTACCTGGAGAGTAAAGTTTAGGGCACTGGTGTTATCCTGGGGAAAGACTCTTGCAAGAGTCAAGCAGGGAATAAATGGGACTGTGACAGCAGATGGGGCACAGTCCCATGCAGACAGGGGGGTAAGACTTCTGCACTGCAGCTGGTCCAGGGGCTTGCATGGCTCTGCAGGGCTGGGGGTCACAGTGAGGAGCTGCAGCTGGGGCAAGTCCCCAGAGTGAGGTGCAGTGTGTTATCCAGATGGCTTCCTCCTACACACAGCTGGGAAGGCAGAGAGAGCTGAGACACTATACTGGGAACACCTAAGGAGCCACTGGTGCAGTCTGGGTCCTTGCAAGCCCTCCCTGCGGTGCCCTCCGCAAATACCTCTGTGGGCAGTTGTAAATATTTGAGAAGAGAAAAAGAAAACATCATTCCTACCAGTTCCACATAAGCTTGAACTTGCTTTTGGTGACTAAACAATGACAAAAGCCAGTATTTTCCAGCTTTTACACAGTCAGAACCAAATGAGACTTTAATTTGGGACCTGTGCGCTTCTCGTGAAGGCCACTGCCTACCCTTTGGCAGCAGGCAGGGACCTGCTGTAAAAAAAAAGGCAAACGTATGTGTGATTTGCAAAATTTACAAAATATGTTTTACAGTTTACATAAACTCACAGACTTTTGGATTGCCTGGTCATGTGTATGTGTGTTTATATATCTGTATAGAGTATGATGCTTCATACATGGACTGAAAAAAGAAGAGACTCTGGCTCTGGCTAAGGCAGTATGGTGAACACATGCCAGAACATATGTTGGGAGGCTAGCCTCCCAGCCATCCAGAACAGGGTCCTTTCTCATTCTTTTTAGATCTGTTACCAGTATCCAAACACAGAAACAAACAAGAAGTAAATATAGTCAAGTCACCTTAGTCTGATTCTACTGAAATCTGGTAAAATGAGTATGTTCTGTTATGGTTTCTTGCTCTCAAGTATTTCTGAAAAGGTTTTAATGGGGCTTTATGGAAAGTTTCTCTCAATTAGTTGCTTAGTTCAATATTTGAAGGACTTTTGTTTGTACATGTCAAAGGAATTCCACCTTTGACAGAGAAATGTGAGACCCTCGAACAGTCCTGTGCGAGCCAGTGACAGGAGTGAACCTCTTCCACAGTTCTCTTGTCAACCTCAAAACATCATCCTTTCCTGAAAACACTATTTTCAGGATATTCATGTGCTTTCTCCCAGGCCACTGAAGAAGATGAGAACAGATGCAGAGCAGATTTTCATATATTCTTTTTCATTTTTATATTTATGTATATGAATGCTTATGTATATTCTTACAAAATTTTGCATATGTATTTAATTAAGGCAATTTTTTAAGTTGATCAGAAGAGCTATGAGCTCTACATACAAGAAAAAACATCTCTATTTACAGATAAAGTTAATTTAAATATAAGCAGCAGAAGAAATGTGAACTTTTGAAATATTTTCAAAATTCATTAGTGAATCATTGCAAAAATGTATTCCACTGTGGGCGGAATTTCAGTAAACCAAGGCTCCAGTTCTACTTTTTTCACACTTTCAAGAATACTGACTGAAGTTAATGGGACTATTCTTACACATAAAATGAGCTGGGTTTGGTCCCAGGAACACTTTAAAATGATTTTAAGCCTGCAACACAAAGCCTTTTCATTGTTTGGAAGGGGGAATTTGAGCAAAACGAAGTCACTAACATGGTTTTTGGGGAGTCTAGGAAGAACACTTCTGATCAGAAGGCAGAGATCAAATTTCCATGAAATCTACAGCTCTGGGGATTGTAAATGTGGTTTGCTTATTTTTAGATAGGAAGCTGGATCGAATTCTTTGTAAAGAAGGGAGGAGGTGGAAGGGAATGCCCTTCCCCTGGCAAAAATTCCCCATCCTAGTGTTTTAAAGTAAGAGTTGGTGGGCCTGTGATTAACTGTGAGTAACTGAAGTATCTGATTCTCCTCACCAGATTTATTTATTGGAGATGTGTAAATTTTCTGGCATTGTGACTTTTTTGGGTTTACTTTAATAATTTTGCTCTCTCTCAAAAATTTGTACTAGATTCATAAAAAGACACATAGTGCATTAATCTGTTACAAGGATGAATGAATGAACATTGCCATTGCTATTTGGGCCTCTTTCACCTAGAAAGGAGAGGGCGATATGGACAACCCCCTTCTCACCTCAGCATGCCCTATTGAGTTGCCTAAACTCTGTGAAAAGTGAAACATCCAAATAATCTGACCCACTGCTGTGTTTTGTTCTGAGCAGCTGACCCAACGTCAAAAATGTGACTCATGGCCCCTCCAGCAAAAAGACCCGGAGCAACTTTGAGGTCTATGCAAGCGCACCACAGGATGCAAAGAAGATGAAGATACTAGGAACCTGGTTGGGTCTGCCAGCTGGACAGCACTTGCCGGCTCTGGGACTCAGGCTCTTTTCAAACAAATGGAGAAACATGGTATTTAAAAAACAAAACCACCCAAAACAACCTCCTGCTGTTATTCTTTCTCCGTTTGCGTAGGCACATATCTGCTGCTTCTCCACTCTGGCTTGTGAGAGAACTGCTGAGTCTAAGTCAAAGTTTGTAACATGCTGGAAATGGGGAGGAGGTCTGAAGCATCAGCCAGGGTAACCTGGTTTCAGTTACCATGTTTGTGTGGGTTTCTGAGGATATCCTGGCTGAAAGGGAGTGGGGCAGGTTCAAACAAGCACAAGTGTGCATTTAATTGCTGGTAGAACATCTTGTGGGAAAGATACTGAGAGAAGTGTGTGGTGGCAAGTGTGATGAAATAGGTTGCTTTCAGCTAGAGATGACCTGGCTTTAAATCCCTGTGTGTGGAGTTTGATACACAGCACTGAAAATAACTTGTTAGTTTTTGTTGGTGATGATGAGGTGGTTTTTTTCATTTGTTTGCTAGGTTTGAGTTTTTTTAATGTGTTGTTCCTTCTTGTTTCTTTCAGATGAATTTCAGAAAATTCAGGCTGTTTGTTTGCCTTTTAGGCCTCAGCTGTGCTAGCTTGGTTTTTTACATCATTTTGATTGAATACTGTTTGTTCTGTGAAGGCAACCGAGAGACTTTTAGGAGAATTGGAGGAAACTTCTTGCAGCTCCCGGATGTAGACTGTCATAATAACCCACCTTTCCTCGTCCTGCTTGTGACATCCTCATGTCACCACATTGATGCCAGGATGGCCATCCGGCAAACCTGGGGGAAAGAGAGAACTATTGCCAGCAAGCGCCTGGTGACATATTTTCTCCTGGGAAGCGCTGTGAATCTCAGCCAGCAGGCTGATATTGCTGCTGAAAGCCAAAAGTACAAAGACATTATTCAGAAGAACTTTACTGACACGTATTACAATTTGACTTTGAAGACCATGATGGGAATTGAATGGATTCACAAATTTTGTTACCAGTCCAGCTTTGTGATGAAAACTGACACAGATGTGTTTGTCAACATTTTTTACCTCACTGAGCTTCTTCTAAGGAAAAAGAGGACCACTAGATTCTTCACAGGCTTTTTAAAACTACAGGAGTCCCCCATACGGGTAAAAGATAGTAAATGGTACGTGAGTAAAAGAGAATATCCGGGAGAGACCTACCCCCCTTTTTGTTCTGGAACTGGCTACATTTTATCCACTGACGTTGCTAGTCAGATCTATAATGTTTCCGAGAGAGTTTTCTTCATTAAACTGGAGGATGTATTCATAGGGCTGTGCCTTACCAAATTAAATATACAGCCAGAGGAGCTTCATTCAGAGCAGACATTTTTCCCAGAAAAGATTATGTTCTCTGTTTCTCGTTTCAAGAAAATTGTGACGTGCCATGAAGTAGAACCATCTGAGCAGCTGAGCTACTGGAATTACTTAGTGACAGAGAATGGTAGCAGGGCTCTAGCACCTTCCCTGTCTGAATTAAGAAGCTGAAATGCTCTGCGTTTACAGGAGTGCTCTTGACTCCAGCAAAACTCCCAATTAACTCTAGATTCATCACACTAAAGACTTTTTAAATGGTTATTTTAATCTTCCAAGAACATGCAAACTTCTTTCTCTTCCATTCGCTCCCACCTCTTTGCATCCTTTCTCTAAGCAAGTTTTCTTTTTCTTTAAGCAAGTTTTCTTTTTCTTTTTCTTTTTCTTTTTCTTTTTCTTTTTCTTTTTCTTTTTCTTTTTCTTTTTCTTTTTCTTTTTCTTTTTCTTTTTCTTTTTCTTTTTCTTTTTCTTTTTCTTTTTCTTTTTCTTTTTCTTTTTCTTTTTCTTTTTCTTTTTCTCTTTCTTTTCCTTTTCCTTTTTCCTTTTTCCTTTTTCCTTTTCCTTTTTCCTTTTTCCTTTTTCCTTTTCCTTTTTCCTTTTTCCTTTTTCCTTTTCCTTTTTCCTTTTTCCTTTTTCTTTTTCTTGGAAGATGCAGGCCTGCAAACTTGCCCTTCAAATCTTGCTGCTATAGGACTGAGAACATTTTGCTAGTGAGAAACTGAAAGTCAAAATGCTTTTATTCAGAGAAGAAAATTTTCACCCTCTTCCTGGTTCCCCTTGACAGAATACTGCATTTGCACCCATCCGTGTAGACATTTAAGAAAAGGTGTTTGTAGCTGTCAGGACGTTCCCCTCTTGGTGCAGGAAACTGCAGCCCTGCCTTTGCAGCCAGCTCTGTGTGGGCAGAACTGCGTGCTGGCACAGATCATTCCTCCAGTCTGCACAATTAATTTTTTTTTAGCAGAGATGGAAGAATCTGCCCATGCAGTGCTCTTGGGACAACCTCAAGTCCTGCAGGTCACTCAAGGAACACGTAAAGGCCCCTGCATCTCTTTCCATATACAAGCC